GAAGTGGGATGGAAGTATAGTTAAGCTACCTCACAACAAAACAAGAGACCTGAGTTGGAAACCTTATTCCAGATTTATGCTGAAGTTTTTACCCCATCTGAGAAGTAGTAATTGTGTACCTTTCCAACTGGGGAATGAAGTGTGGCCTGAAATATATTGGCCTTATTTAACCACTTTAGTTAGTGCCTTTAGTGGATCGTTAGGCAGAGACTTATTAAAATAACTCTGAAAGAATTCCATATCTAGAGGCACATATTGCTCCAGATAATATTGTTGAAATCACACCAAATTGGCAGGATGAACTGCTAGTTGTTGGAGTTGCTCAGATGCATGGGATGGAAATTTGAACCACAAATCACAGATTTATGCCATGACTTACATTAATCCAACTTGTATCATGAACAGTGTTATGTGTTGATCTACCATGACAGTTTATATAATATGACTAGGGGGGGGGGGGGGGGGAAGAAGAAGGAAAAAAGGTGTGTTCCCACCTTAAGCTGGCTAACCCAAATGTGCTACCTGAGGCAGAAATATCAATAAAGGACTTTCAACTTCATCTTTACTTGAATTTAGCTGTTTGCCTTCAAGTTCAGAAAGGGACCTGAGGCTGAATTTGACCTGCAAAAATCAAATATGACTTGTCTGCACTGCCAATTTATCTTGAACTATTTAGCTCATATTAGCCAACCTAAATGAAGAACTCCTTTTCAAGCATAGGCATAATATAAAACTACTACAAATTCCTCTTTCCCGACAACATCAAACAGCTGTCCTGTTTTAGGTAGGACTAATATCATCACATATTCTTCAACTTATCAGACTGCTAGAAATAATTTCCACAAGCTAGAAGTCACCTCAAACACATATGATTCCAATAAGATGAGAATATAAGGAAAACAATATACAAACACCTTATACTTTTAAGATCCTATGACACCTAGAAATTATAGCTTTACATAGAACAGAGATAAACAACCTTTTATCCTGAAAGATCTAGAGAAATCAAAGATGTGTCAAAATTATACACTTACTCATTGAAAAATGATTCCAAATAATTTGAGTTTTTAGTGTACTGATTCTAGATTTGTTCCTCAAAAATCATTACAAATGTGCTCACAGTAATTAAGAGTTACTGAGCTGTATCGTCTGTGGCAGACATGGGCCAAGCTAAGCACATATTCTGTAAGTCCCAGGAATGAATAGAGAAAAATGAACTGTGACTACGTGTTGCTGTCCTTCCTTGTTTTATAAAGCAGACTACTTCAAATTTACACATGGACTGGAAAGTTGCTCTAGCTTGGTTGCCTAGGTGCCTGCAATTATAAGGGGCTGTACGATCAGAGACCAAGTACAACTATTTAATACTCCTGGGAAGCCTTCCCTTTTCCTCCAGGAGGAAGCTGTATACAGCTAGGTGTTCAGGTGTTATATGTAATCAGGGGAAAGCTTTTACGAACAGAAAGTTCCGAGTTACTCAGGTATGGCAGCCTTTTCTGCTAGCTAAGCTGATAGTACCAACTGGTCTACAAACAGGATAGGTACAAAAAAAGGTTGTGAAGTCTTCAAATTCTTCAGATGTCTAAGCTCATCTGATAAATGTTTGTCATATGAAATCAATGCAGCTATGATATAGGGAAAAATTACTGATTATTTTTTGGAAGTCCCACACCTGTCTTTTGTGGCTTGCCATTTATCAATAATGCCAGACATCTTGTACTTAGTGCTCATAAGAAAGCCCATCTGAGTATGTGAGATGTTGAATCCTGGTTATGTTGCATGCATATAATCACCTAATTAGGTCTCTTGTCTTAGTTTGCTGCCTTGCTTTTACCAAGATTTCTTCTTTTTTATTTCTTGACTGCTCCACTGATGCATGTTAATTAGCATTCATTTTTTCTAAGATACCACAGTGGGTAGCAACTGCATTGAATTTCATAGATAATAACCTAGAGACACTCAGAAAATTCTTGTAAGATTTAATTCAGTGGTAAGTGACGTTTAAATATGTATTTGAAAACCTTTGACCAGAATTCTATTTTTAATAACCTGTGCTAAGGTCATAGGTTTTGAGAGAAGGAACAAATATATTCTGCATTGAATAAACAAGCAAACTTTCCTCGTTGAAAGGCTTAGTTCATCCTTTATTGTCAACTCTTAAAGATTACTAAATCTAACCACCAATCTAGATTACTGCATACAGTACCACATTCCCCCACAGCAAATGCAATTTCTAGCATAAAATACGGTACCAGGGGAAGGCTAACATACTTGGAGCAGTTACTAGGCTTGCTTTGTGTAAACTGACTGTTATCTATATGCACATATTACTAGATGCCGACATCTTTTTGTGGTCTATAACTGTTTGCATACAAGCAAATACATAAATATGTCACTGAGGAAAGGATTTAAAATATTTCTTGAATGATCAGTGATTTAAAGGCCCAAGTATCAGTATTATACTACAATAAAACACTTCAAATGATGGCCTTACATTTCTTTCATGGAACTGGATTTGAATAAATAATGACACACCTATTAGTTTGTAATGGTATTCCTACCTGCCAGTCTCATCTTGATTTTGGAGGTAGCAGTTGATTGTGTTGACTAAAAAGCTAAATAAACGACCGTATAGAGATTTTGCCAAGAGATCCCGGTAAAATTCTGCAATCTCTATGGTGTGTCTCCGTACAATCATGTCTCCTAAGACAGAAAGCAGAAGACAGAAAGGAAAGCATGTTGCAAAGCTTGCTTTAAATACTCTTACTTACAGCAATAACAAGTCCTTCCACCCTTTTCATTTCTTCTTTTGCCACCTATACACGGTGCTAGTTTTCTCTGAAGCCTCCAGTGAAAGAGAGGCTACAACACTCTCAATACCTGCAAGATATACAGGCTGGAAATATGCACTTTTTTCAACCAAAAAAAGGGTATGCATAGCACACAGAACTAGCATTTTACTGAAAAGAACAACTGTGAATATTTGATTTCCCCTCCCCCCTCCCCTTTTTTTAAGGACACTCTTGTTGACTTTAGTTCTTAGCATTAATATATAATCTGTTATCTTGATATACTTCTGTAAGATTAACCATGCTAGGTTAATGCATCAGTAGCAGACTAAGAAACTGATTTGCTCCATGTTACAGAGACTGTTCTAATTCAGTGGCCCAGTCTGATGCATTGCACAGCAGATTATCCTACATATTCCTCAGAGAAGAATTTTACAAGACCATGTGAAATAAGAAACAGAAATCATAAGCTTTTAAAATTCAGATATCAGGAGGATCAAAATACCACCAGCTCTGATTTATGAGAATGTAAGCTTGGAAGAGATTACCTTTAAAATACTGAACATCGGTTGTTAATCCCTGCCACTGAAATGAAAAGAGTTTAAAGAAAGACTGATTTGTGTTCCACATCATGTTGCATTTTTTAGAACAGATTTTCTTATGTAGATGCTATTTTCTGAAAAGTGGAAGAACCCACACGTTAAAGAAAAGAGCACTGTCACAGCAGTAATCAAAATTAATGAACATGTAAAATCGGATTACTATAATCAGCACTTTGTGAAGTCTGAATGTATCTATGTATTACATTACAGCTTTCTTTCCTCTTTACAGATTACTCAGGACTTTCCCCAGGGCTTGGCAGGCTCTCGCTAGCATTACAGAGCTAAGGTATGCTACTTATTGACAATCTGTATCCATAAGCCACTTTGAAGAGATTTGCAAATGACCAACACGGCAACTTCAAAGCATGAAACCTTTTAAGACAAAGGTTTTGAATGTAAGGTATTCAATTCAATGCAAATTGTTCCGCTGTTGACAAGCAGCACAAGAGTATTTTAAAATAAGACTGCACAAAGTGCACTGCACAATTCCTTTTGGCAAATGATACCATTAAACATGACATTGAATTAGATAATTTGCCGTAATGGCATTTTATTTAGTCCCATAAAAATCTGTAGTTTATAAAATATCTAAGTCAACTGGATACTGTCTTCCCACAGTAACTGATGAGACTTGCGAACGCGGCTGTCTGTCTCGCTGGAACGGTGTTTCCATCTGTCGGCGGATCAGCGAAACAGCCCTGCTGTGCGACCAAGCAGACGATGCTCCAAGGCCGCGTCCTACCGACCTTGTTCCAGTAGCTGCAGGTCCGACACGAATGCTGTCTCAGCGTCTGTCAGAGCAGTAAACCGGATGTCCCCAAGATGCAGGATTGCAGAGAGAATTACAAACAGGTTCTCCACCTCCTGCACATATTTTAGACACAATTAAAGATAAAGAAGAGCTCTGGTGGGCACATCAGTGAAAGGGAATGCTTTACAAACCATACAGGTGTTAGTAGTTTATATCATTGGGATTTGCTAAATTAAAAAGGGTTCATGTGTGCCATACTAACATACAGGAAATCTGCATTTAGAAATCAAATTGAAACCAATTTAGGATATAAAAATTTCTTATGAGAATTACAGAATAGTTTCTGCAAAACAATAAGGTTTTTTTTTACTTTTGCATTAATGTAAATCACATTAACTGCTGGCTTATGAAACTTTTTTAGAATGTGAGAAAAAAAAACTGAAATATGTTTAATGGATGCATTATTTCTGCAAGAAATAAACATTTCTTTCCCATGGAGAATTTCAGGCAAGACAAATTCTATATCTGGGAATAGCTTTTTTTTTTTTTTTTTCCTCAGCCAACTGCATTCACAAGCAAATGTTCTAGCTTTAAATTATAGCAGGTTCCTGGTAGTAAAAGCTGTAGTCAATGTTTGAAAGAAATAAAAAATACCCTCTTACCCACACCTCTCCCCACTATGGTTGCATACTGCGTTCAGATGCCTCTAATGCTATAAAGCAGTTATCTGGAAGGCAAGATTTTTCCTGGACTGATTTTTAAAAAAGTAAGAAGAGAACTTTTTGTTGTTGTTCTTTTTTGATGGTTTTTGGGGTGTTTTTAAATTCAAGCAAAAAATGATCCATGGAAAATGAACAAAAAATGATATGACATATAAAATGTTGCATATCATCAGATCTTTTTTTTAAGGTCGGTTCTATAACAATGGTCCTCCTTTAAAATTATAAAGCAAGGAAATCCGATACACACTATAGCATGCCATGGCATTATGTATAGCAAATTTACGTGATAACTTTTACTTGAAATATTTTTGAGAAATAATATTTAGAATCTGATCCTCCTGAAATATTAGGTAAAGTGAGAAGACTCATTTACTGGAATTTGCAAAATAAGTTTCAATAATACAATACAAACAAAATATTTAGCTAACGATGTATCCTCTTTGTTTTCAATGCAGCGCAAACTCAGGGACTGCAATGAATGTTCAAAATGCTGAAACTGACCTTGGATAACTTTTACTTGGTTAGCAGAAACAACAGATCAGATTAAAAAAACCTGATCTGTTCTTGATCTGTTTCCTTCTTGTTTCTTCCTCTAATAAATATGCCATTAAACAGAGGACGCTAAAAAAGTTTCCAGTCTCTGGGATACAGACTGTGGGGCCTCTGATGCTGTTTAAATAAGTCTGATTCTCTAAAACAAACCACATTTGAAGACAAGCACTTAACAAATTCTTACTGTAGTAACTGGATGTAAAAATGGCAATAGTAATTTTTTCCATTATATAGTTCCAATGCTGAAGACTAAAAAAGGCAAGACATCAAAAACCAATGTTTTATTACCCTTCCTCACAGGCAAACTCTGAATAAGACAGCTCTTGCAGTAGAAGGAAAATTGCCATGCTGATATCATATTCAAGCTAGGGTGATATAACCTGCTTCTTACGAGAGCCTCTTAGGTGAGACTGAATGCCGCATTAGTGCAGCATATTTCTTGTTTCTTTGTGAGCATGTTCAGAACAGGTGTGGGTATGACTGTACAGCACTAACTGCAGCAGGGGGAAACAGCTGTTGATTTTGGTGATTTTGGCAAGGCCTCAGGTTTAGTTCAGATTCCCAAATACTTATCTGACAAATAAGCTTTTAATAAATGTTAATATACTTTGCAGAATTTCAGTCAAGATCGTTTAGGAATCAAATTACCTTCAAAAAGATCATCTACTCTACTATTAAATGAGGCTAGATGGTCAAGGAATAGCACACATAGACCTTTCCATGTATCTTAGAAATGATGTAAAGTTATTTTAGGAGATGTGTTTTCTTGACATTGTTCTCCTCCTGTAGCCTCCACCACAGGAGATCAATGTACAGTGCTCTGGAATTCCACAGATTTCTAGCCACCTCAGTGATTATTCTCGTGCTACTTGGATACGGAGGAGCTTGAAACCGATTTAAGCTTTCCCAAGGCAACTTCCTTTCTAGAACCCGGAACAAAGGCTTATTGAAGTTGTAATGCTGAATTCAAAAGTATTTTTCAAGTAAAGTGTTACCCAGCAGTTACTGCAGGCTTCCACAGTGTAATTCATTATGCACTCAGTTATTTATTTACGGGCTGAAGCCTTTCCCCAACTGAACAGAAAGCTTACTAAGAGAGGTAGAGAGATCAACCAGTCTGCAAACACTGGACTAAATGCTGGCATAGTTGAAACGAATGGAACTTTTGTACTAAATTCTACAGGTGCAGAGCTTGAGCCATTAAGAGTAAAGAATAATTCCGCTAAATACAGCCATTATGTGTTCGATTTCATGAGCGGCCACATGAATATTCCTGGGGGAAAAAAAAAAAACACCTAAAACTTTTCTTTAAATTGAAAGGTGACCCAGGCTTCCAAAGAACATTTATTACTACCTTAACTAGGGAATACCAAACAACTACATGATGCACTATCACCACAGAAGTCAGTCTACCTCACAGCTCAATAACAGCTTCAGCACGGGGTCACAATTTTTTTGCTGATGTCCCTTGATCCCTCTTTATTACAACTGCTGCCCATCTGTTATCCCTTTCAGCATACTGCCTCATTAACTTTTCCTCACCTTTTCTCTTATGATGCTAAATATCATGTAGGGGCAAAGGAAAGAAATTTTTGCCTTTTTCTGGAATTACTGTTGTTTATGCATTTGTTTTGCAGAAATGTCCCAGCTATAGTTTGCTATGTAGCATACACATTTGTAATAAATACGGAAAGTCAGTTAAATATTCTAGTATCCTGAAGGAAATTATACAGCTTACGTGAGTTCTTCTACTCAGTCCTCCATTTCCTCTGATTCCCCTTACATCTTTGTCCTCCAGAACCCCTTCTTGATTAATTTCCTAAATTATCTTCATTAGCTTTGTTAGATGGAAGACAAATATCAGGCCTATCTCCCCTTAATGCTTTTTGGGGGTTAAGTCAGCTCTTTCAGGTTACCCAGCTATTATTTTGTTTGTCTAAATATATATGTGCTTCTTTTCAGGTGCTGCTAGCAAAGGCGTTTGGAATGTGTGTTTCACAAAATTAAAAGGGACAGGGAGATAATCAGGGAGGGGAAAAAATTCCTGTGGGTTTTATGAGGTTCCTCTCACAGGGATTTGATTGTTTCTTTTTATCTATGTAATTTAATTGTTCAGAGTATTATACCTTGCAGCTGTTTTGTGAATCTTTAAGAATGCAAAAGATTTACATTGTTGGTGCTGTGTCTAATTAAAAGTGATTACAGTAATTTCCCTGGAGTGAACTAGTACTGTATATTGTTTCAAGGTCTTTACCAATGGAAAAAAGAAAGACAGAAAGCCAGTCCTTTTCCCCACAAAAGGTTATCAGTAACAGTTGCTCATGACCTGCTTTTAACTAAGTAACACGGTGATTTTAGCCAGAAGTAATATAAGCTTGTATAACTTACCAGGCTATTGAATCCCACAGCATTTAGAGCTTGTTTTAGCACAGCTAATTTCTCCCTGTTTTGAGGGTTGCCTGTTACCATCGTGTCTTCCAGTACGCTCTGGCTTAGATACCTGCACAGAGGGAAAAACAGCACATGTAGTCTTTAATTAAAAAGGCTGGTGCAGAATCAAACTTGTGAGGTTAAAAGCCTTCTTTTCCCTTCTAACCTAATAGAAGACATACACAAATGTACCTATACAAGATGCTTAAGTGCCAACTGGAGATTCATCACATAGTTTTATCAGCCTTTGGAGGGAACAGTACTTTTGACAGTGCTCCATATTTCTTTCCTTAAGTTCTTACCTAACTGTACATTTCTTGAATACAGATATTAGTTCACAGGCTGTACTTGTGACACTTGCTGTGTACAGACAAAACTCATTGGGTACATTTCTGTCACTCCTCAAGAGTCAGGTGAGATGCTTCATTTTTGTATCCTGATATTCTCTGGTCATAATTAGCTCAGAAAAGAAATCTTGAAGAGGAGCTCTTCACAGCGCCCTGATTCTCAACTCTAGGCCTAAAAGTAAGCTAAAACTTCAGATTTAATTTATACCACTGAGACTTGCACTATGAGAGATTCCCCTTCAGAAGGAGGACATGAGGGCACTCCCTGCTTTAAACTCCCTTCCTGCTGGTTTGGGAAAAGATCAGCTCTTATCCACCTGATCCCACGATCATTTGCTCCCTGAGCAGCTGAAGGGGTGAGATATATTCAGCAACTCTTAGACCAATGTAGTAACTGAGTACATAAAGTAGAAAGCACCGTAAATGTTCTCAGCCTTAAGCTGTACTGCAGTACACACTGTGAACCAAAAGGAAATAACACAGCACATTACAAACCTCCCTCAAAATAACCATTAGAAGAGACTAGGAGAGAGAGAGACCTAGTGCAACAGCTCCCTCAAAATAACCATTAGAAGAGACAAGGGGAGAGAGAGAGCTAGTGCAACAACTAACTCAGGAAAATAAAGAGAGCCAACATAAAGAGTAGTAACATACAACACAGTAACCAGAAACTATAGCACAGAAGACTATTGAAAAGAGGAACAACCCAAGCCTTACAACAACGTATTTTGACCTGCATGAAATAATGACTGTGGGCCAAGTTTCTTTCTTTTTCAGATTTTCTTTCATTTTCAGATTTTTTTTTTTTCTATTTAAATGTCCAAGCACAACCGAAATCAGTAAGCATGAGGTATATGAGTATCTTATAAGATTTGTTTTTTAATTATGTCATGCTGAGAATGGCAAAAAGATGCCTTTGCATGTTCAGGTGATCTGACCCTCAAAGAACGGAACTGTATGAAATTCTGACAATTCATATTCACAATCCTATCCAAATTGCACTACAAAGGCCACACTATCGTCTCAGAATAAACCTCCTGTTGCCAAAGGAAGTCTGGCTGTGCTGGTAGCTCTTGTAAAGGTGAACGTGCATAGCTTTTAGAAACAGGTAGAGGAATGATTTGGTATTTGCACTTTTCTAAGCTACATTGAGGTTTATGATGTATATGCGATGAAATGCATAGCGTATCTTTAGTGGATAGATACTGGATTTACTAGTGGGGATTTACCCTGGATTGGTATGGCTTTAACATACCTCAGAAGGTGAGCAAAGAAGGAATGATGGGGAAAAACATGTGCCTGGATGCATAAACACTCTTTGCATCCAAAAGACAACTCAGTTAGCAGATATTCAAGTACAAACAAGCCCCACATCACAGTGGCTAAAGAATTAACATAACCTTTGAGAATGTGATTCTGTGATCATCAATACGATAGCTCTGTACTGTTTCTTTCAGGTTACTAAAAACAAGAATTTTGTCCAAATTAGATAGAAACACATGCTAGCACGTCTGTCAAATTAGCTAGAGCAGATTATATAGAACATATGCCAGATTTATGTTTTGTTTCTGTGTTGTTTTTGTTTTTGTTTTTCACATTATCTGCATGTATTAAAGGGAGAATAGAATAAACCTGAAACTGAAGCTGGCATAGAACCCACTGGTGTAAAGGGTAATGCACTACAAATTTTTCCATAGTTCTGACCTGCAGTGCGAGCTTGTACCAGTTCAGTGCTGTGCATCATGTGTTTGTGACATTTTTGACGCGTAATTAGGAGCTTTCCAGCGGCATCTACTCTGCTGTCACAACGTCCCATTGTTGAAAGACTAGAGGAGCTGGAAGCTTACGGATGCGTTTTACAGGAAAACCTCCTCACTGGTGTTCTTGCTAAAGAACTCATTGTCTCTTTCTCTGTGTACTGAGCAGGAAATACACTTCCCTGTCCCGTGAAGCCAGGATTGCATACCTTTCTTATTTAAGCAACCCCATTTAATTAGCTCTTTTTAGCACAGTTAAAGCGCTAGTGGATTGCCCTAACAAAAAAGTCTGCAAACACTACCAATCCGTATCAAAGCAGGCTGTGGTATAGCAACGTTTACTCCCTCCGAGAGAAAAAAACAAAAAAAAAATAAAACAAAAATCGAGCCGTGATATGAATCAACATGCAAGCACTTCTTGCCTTCAGCACAAGCATTTCTTGCCGAGACAGCAGGGGGCAATCTGGGTACCCAGCAAACCAGATGCCTGTGGCTCCTTCAGTCCGGCCATAAACTGCAGCATCTGCCAGGACATGCCTGTTGGGAGAGATGCCGACTTTCCCAGTATAAATCTCCTGAGGTTTTTATCAGCAGATGTGCCGGTACCCTTGGATAGGGCTGTATTTGGACATTTTCTAAGGCGCGTTTGAAGTTAGAATCATTTTTCCCAGTCCAAAAGCAATGAAGTTCCTTAATTTTTATAACATGCCACAGGGTCCACTCATTTTCCAGGCTATTTACTGATTGCCGAAAGATGAAAATTGCTTCAGTGATGTGCCCATTTGACTGTTATATGTTTCTAATGCAAAGTATATGCATTTTAAGACTGAATTATTTGTACAAAGCACTTAGCACTGTGGAAGGACACTATACATATCCCAACAAATGCACAAAATATGCAGCGTAGCAGAGTGGAGGCATTATACTGTCTGTACAAGAAGTCACATATCACATTTTTCTGATTATTGTTCACCACATTCTACCTCAGAAGCACAGTGACATTTAGACAGAAGTAAGAATAAATATTTTTCTGCTTCTAAAATACCTCCCTGCTATCTCCTTCTCACCCTTCTGTTCCCTGAAGACCTTGAGGACGAAAAAGCTTCAAGACACTTTTAATATTACTACTGCTGCCTATTTACACTTAAGAATCAGAGTGCTAAAGCGATTTTAAACTGTTGCATCTCCTATAAAAATAAGAAAGGGGCGTCTCATAGTGCTAAAGTCCTAATATTCATGTAACAGTCTTACATTGCCGATACGTCATTATTCCACAGAATGCAAACTTCTTTTTAATAGGCACAGTTTTACTCTCATTTATAGAATGTTTTTGTCTTTTGACCTTTGAGTGACCTGCACACGATTACATTGCTGCTGCTGAAGGGGGATTAAACTGCTTAGACTTTCCACTGCGAGCTTACCATGAAGCTTTTGGTTATTAGTTTTACATACTTGTCTGTTACTGTAAACTAAAGCGTTATGGCCATCACACATTTATAAAATCCTAGGCTGTTACTATAGAGTGTGTCTGCTGGTCCCGTAAGTTTCCAGCAAGGTAGTCTGCAATCAAACACAAACCAGACCTGGTGACTCCTGAATTCTTTCTTACTGAGAAATTTAGGAAATGAGATATTCTATATAAGATACTACTGACATACAAGCCAGAGGTGATTTTTCATAACATTTGATGCATGCAGGCTGTGCATCAAATGTGAAATTACTTATTATAGTTTTATTAGCCTTACTTGCATAACTATGTGTGCAAATTCCTTCTGCAAATGCACATTCCCCTAATCTTTGCTGTACTTTAGAAAAAGATTCTCAGATTTTGGCTGAAGTTGAACCTTTTAGTTGTAGGTAGCTGCTCAGACAAGTGATGTTTATATCTCTGATAAAAGTGATGAACCAACCAGTCTATGCAGTTCTAATAATTAACTTCTCTCTACTGGCTGTCTAACCACCTGTTTAAATGATGCCATGTCAGTGTTTGCTCTGGACTAGTGCTCCTGGCAGACAGCTTATCAGCACACAGAAAAGTTTTAAGGACATGTGCTCAGTGACTGTTTACTCCCCTCCTCCCCCCCCCCCCCCCAAAAAAAAAAAAAAAAACAGAAATCCACTGATGCACAGAATTGGGTTCATTTAAGATGATAAATTAATCAATGACTGTAGTAGAGCACAGTCACTTTGAGTAAAACAAAATGATGCATTAGAATTACTTGAAAATTGGAAAAGAGCCTGTTTTTTTCTCTCTAATATTTCTTCTAAAAGCTATAATTTGTAGGTTTATAACATTCTCATATATATCCTAATTTGCCAAAGGATATAAAAGAATGGGGTATTTAGAGGAAAAAAAATTGATGTTAATTTTCTTTATATTGCTTATCCTAGTATAAATTTTTCAATTGTAATTTGAAAGACATAGATCCTTTTTTTTTTTTGTGGAGAGGTATGACTGGTGTGCCCAAGATTACAAGAAGTTACTTACTGTGACATTAAATTCTTCATGCCTATATAAGTTGACAATTATTATGTATATTACCATTCTTATTATAACTGTCACAATTCATTTTTATTACTCTACTTATACCTACAGCAGAGTTTACAATTTTGTACATATATCTCAAATACAAAGAAGAATTATATTGGGAAAAATGCCTCTTTCCTTGAACACTCAAGAGTTTTTGTGACATATGTACCTTTCAAAATTTCTTAGATAATTTCTTAGATCTAATTTCTTAGATAACCCTACTTTAAAACTTTCTTTACAGTAACACAGTCTACTTAGATGATAAAGCAAATAACAAGGAGCCAAGACTAAAAATAAAATTTTTGACTATCAGTTTGCTCTTCTGCCAAAACACAGCAAAATGGTATTTGATTTGGATTGAATTTGAGTTTATTTCTTTTCTTCTCTTTTGAATTGCAACCAGACAGCTTTTAGTATCAAATGAAGTAATTTGCTT